CCCCAAAACCCCAAAACCCCAAAACCCCAAAACCCCTCAGCCAAGGCTAAAAAATGATATAATAAATTATCAGAAATGGACTCTTTGGTCACAAATTGGGGGTTTAGAGGATCCTGGGTGCTGAAGGTAGGGATTTTAGGAGGGATTTTAGATGATTGTGGTCGGGAGGTCAGCGGTGGGAAAGACGAGTTTGATGCATGAGGTTGTGGTTGGGAGGTAAGGAGGGGAAGTTGGGGGTTGGTTTATTTTGGGATGAAATTCATGGTTCTGAGGAGTAAAGTTTGAAGATTAATAGAATTAAAATTACAATCAGCTATCTTACGACTCTGAAGACAATAATATAAAATTAATAATAAAATTGTCCCTATCTTGCCTCATAGACTTCCAGCCATCACTACTCTTAATTATGAATTCGTAGTCTTTAATTACGAAATACCCAGAGGTAAGCTCTCAACAACTCTTTAGAGGACTTGGTCGAGCAAGACTCTAAGTATGCCAGCCTCAAACTTCCTGAGAAAGTCAAGCTCAAGTACCAGGTAAGAGAGAGGCTAATGAAGTAGATCTGGGACACTGCAGGCCAGGAGAGATTCAGGAATTTGGTGAAGAGCTATTACAGAGGAACTTCAGTTGCCTTCATTGTTTATGCCATCAATGGTGGGTTCTCTCAGTGTCAGTGTTTAGATAGAGACTCCTTCGAAGATGTTGAATATTGGGTCAATGACCTTGAAAAGTATACCTTTTGGCACAAAATAGTGCTGATTGGCAACAAAATAGGTAAGCCATACAAGCAATGTTGAATGTAATGTGTGTAGATCTGGAAGATCTGAGAGTGGTGTCATACGATGAAGGTAAAGAACTCGCAGATGAATATGGGTTTGACTTCTTTGAGACTTCTGTGCTTAAAGACATTGGAACAGCAGAATTGATGCCTAATATTTCTCACCCTATTCTCAAGAGTCTTTTGGATAATTACATATAATAATGATTTATTTTCAGTGCCAAAATGACAGATAGGGGTTTTGGGGTTTTGGGGTTTTGGGGTTTTGGGGTTTTGGGGTTTTGGG